CTTTTCCTTCTCCAACTTTCTATGGTGGTTCCCCAGGGTTTTTCTTCTATTATCCCTCATCTCTGGATAATCTCATTCACACAGTTATTTTTATGCTAATAAATCACATAACTGCTCAGGACATTTCTCCTATAATCTTCTAAACTAAAACCTTGGTCTGTCTCTCTGACATCCCTGACATCTCTTCATGGTTGTCCACCCTCCATCTCAAGCTAACATGGGTGTCATCTTTGACTTGAACCTCTTGCTGATTCTTTCTTCATACTGTTTCTAAGATACAGCCCTTTTTATCCATCCACACAGTTAAAAAGCTTGCTCAAGGTGTCATCATCTTGTGTCTCAAATGCTCCACCATCCTTCTCTTTGGCCAGGGCACATGCAATCTTGCTCCCCATATCTATTCAAAATGTTGTAGCTGAGATTATATCCCTAGAGTGTCCCTTTGACCTTATCACCCTTTTCTTTCAGTCTCTTCACTAGCTCTTCCCTCTTTATCAAATCACACATAAATTGCTTATATTCACTTTCAACGTCAATCCCACCCTATCACGTCTAATTTGCTTTCAGTACACACCTCTGATTGGTCCAAGAAACTAGTGTCCATCGTCCATTTATGTGTTCTCCCATTCTGCTTCCTATGCTTGGGAAATATTTCCCATGAATGTAAGCAAAGCTGCTTCCTTATCCACTTTCAAATTTGTCCTCAAAACTCTCGTTTGCTGTGACATCTATAAAAAAAATGGACAATTAGGCTGCTGTTGTCCCTACCATGGTGCCCAGTACTGCCTCACTGTTTACTGTACTCCTTCAACTGTATATCAGTTTGTTTTGTTTTATTTTTTAGGTTGTAAGCTCTTTGGGACAGGAACAGTCTTTTGGTTCTGTTTGTACGGCGCCTAGCACACTAGGGTCCTGGTTCATGACCAAGGCTCTTAGGTACTATAGTAATACAAGTAATAAATAGCAATAAATAAAGGGCTTCTTTCATAGGTATAAAGGCATGAAATTAAATTTCTGGAATTAAAATAAAATGTACATGAGTTTCCTCAAGTGCGTAATCAATAGTGAGCTGTCTAGTGCCTGCTAATTTTGCACATCTTTTAGCTAACTCAGGGATCCAAATATAAAACTCAGAAAGGTTAGAAATGGAAAAGACTTGCTCAGCTTGTTAATTCCTTTGTCTTTGTAAGTTTGTTCCCTAGAGTATGTTCTCAAGTGCACTTGGGGGCATCATATGGATTTGTGACACACTGAGTGACTTTTGCTCCACAAATCAATGAACAGATTTGACTCATCCAGCTATGGTTAATTCATTGGTTCAGTCCAATAAACTCTGCTTAGGGATGCAAGCATTGCCAAAGTTAATTGATCAAGTACGATAGCCATTGCTTCAGAGAAGTCCTTCCAATATAATTTCTATTGGGGGGAGGCAGCTTTCACTAAAGAGGAAGTAATATGTTTTTATTTATTAACAAAACCAAGAATATTTTATAAAACGTTGTTCATATGGTAGAAATATTATTCAACTTATTTATCCATCTCAACCCTGTGTGGGAGAACACAGCTCAGTGGGAATTGCAATCGCCTTTCATATATTATGTATATAGCATTTTGTTAAACATGTAGCATACGTCCTAGTACTGTAACAACCATATAACACCAATTTTTGATGGAGGAATAGTATGGTAATGTGCTTCTCATTTCAAGCAAAGCTATTATCCTAACTGTCCCATTTTATAAGATGTATTGCAGGCATACAACACTGTTGGTCCATATGTAATTTTGGATTCAAATCAATCATAAATAGATAATTAGGAATGCAAGTGCATATTATATTAATTTTATGTCTTGCTGAATGCATATATTGGCTAAATTATTTAGGACTTCCAGTTTTAGCAAATCAAAATTAGTTTGATGCTATTAGTCACTGTTCTGGCTTATTTTTATCTTATATTTGTATTAGGGTAGCATTTGAATTTGCCACTATACAAACAGTAAGACAGACAGACAAACGGTATAAAAAGAAAACAGGCACAGACAGTATCTCTTGAATCTTACACCAGTGCCTTATAAAGAAAAAAATAATTAGGATCCCATTTTGGATTGGAGAACCAGAACAAATCTCATAGGAAAGTTAAGACTTGAATAGTGGACATATTTGCGAGAACTTAAAGAGCAGATCTGAATATTCTGTATATGCAAGATTGCCAAAGAAAACAGCAAGGTGTATAATGTAAATGCTGCTGCTATTACAGTGCTCAAAGCTATACCTAAATTTTTAAAGATTTCCCTCTCAAAGATCAGAAATTGATCTCCCAGAGTATGTCTAGACTCCATGGTTCCGTTAATGGAGCCATGTAAACTAGTTTACCCGGCATAGGCAAAGAAGCGGGGATTAAAATATTCCCTGCTTCATTAAAATAAACATGGCCGCCATGCTGTGCCGACGATCAGCTGATCCGGCACAGCGCGGTAGTCTAGAAGCAGATTGGTCGGCTGGGGAAGCCTTTGCCGACCAATACCTTATGCTTCCCCAGCCGACCGATCTGCGTCTAGACTACCGCGCTGTGCCGGATCAGCTGATTGTCGGCACAGTACAGTGGCCATGTTTATTTTAACAAAGCGGGGATTATTTAAATCCCCACTTCTTTGCCTATGCCGGGTAAACTAGTTTACATGGCTCCGTCGACGGAGTAGGAATAAGAGATCCTCCGGAATAGGGCTTTATTCCGGAGGATCGGGCCAGTCTAGACGCTTTTTTCCGGCTTTTCCCCAAGCCGGAAAAAAGCAGCGGACATCTTTATTTAAATCCCGCGGGGGATATTTAATTCCCTCGCGGACTTCCCTATTCTGAAGTTGAAAATTAGCACGCCCCTTTCGGAAAAGGGGCTAGTGTAGACGTAGGGCCAGTGTTTAAAAGCAATACAGACAAGCCCAAAATTTCACCTACCATAAACATGCTAGTTTAGGGGTGTCCTGTGGCTCCTGCTACTTCACCAAGAAACTTTTTAAAAGCAAGTGAATAGCCATTGAAAATGATGGTCTCTGACAAGCAAAACAAAGCTTGCTGAACAGCCAGCCAGCCAGCTTGCTGAACAGACAGCCAAATAGCCAGGAGTTTAATGAACTGTATTTCCTAGAACTCTGCTGATGACATTGACGTTATCATTAATGCTTATGACAAGAGTCAGTGAAGGAAAATCTATTTGGCTTGTGTTACTTGAGAAACAGAAGGGAAAATAAATCATTTGCCAAAGAGAAAAAAGGAAATAATGATATAAAAAATTATATCCTGGCCTTCAGAGAACAAAAGAAAGAATCAAAGTGTACTTTGCATTATCACTTTAAATTGCTCTAAAGGTGATTTTTCACAATAGGATATTGTGAGCTTACAAACTCTCACTCCAGCCTTCATTTAAAAAAAATACAATAATTGAAATAAGCATGTGCATTTTTCATTTTTTTTAAATTACTTCAGTTAAAGACCTGAGCAATCCCAGGTACATCTGCTAGTAGGTCTTTATTAACCTCAGTTCCAAACTATTGGTGTCACGAAAGCACACATGTATGCCTTTATCAGACAGTGCTTTCTAGGAGGTTTTTGAAATCCCACAGCACAGTGGAAGCATTACTCCTGGGCAGAGGGGAAAAGAAGGTGGTGCCATTCCAGTAACTGCCAGCTGGGGCACTCCATTGCAGGTAGAGGAATGCAACATGGCTTGTAATGTGCTTTTCCAGCTAGGCTCCCTCTGGGTTCCACATGGTCCCTGCTGTAGTCAGGGGCAGCTCGCGGACCTAGGCAAACTAGGCAGTTGCCTAGGGCACTGCAGGCACAGGCACCCGATGATGACGTCACGGCCATTGACAGCCATGTAGGCAGGGGTGCCAATCGCTCCTTCCGCCTAGGATGCCAGCTGCCACAGCCGACTTCGGCCCGCTCCTGGCTGTAGGCTGGGGCTAACAGCCCCATGTGCGATGAACAGTAGGCCCCCAGGTGAGGCAAGCATGTGCGAAAGGGGCCCATTGGAGGTGCACTGTTATAGGAGAGGTGAGTGAGGTTCAAGCCAGGCTCCTGGTGGGGCATCAGCTTCTGTCTTGCTGCCTTAGCCCTCTCTAGCTGGATGCCAGACACCACACATGCATTTTCTGCAGTACACACTCCTATTGGCAGACCTGGGAAAAAGGCAGGTCACCCAACCAGCCCACCTTCCTCAGGTGCGGGGGGAGGGGAGCAATTGCAGTAGACCAGTGGTCCCCAACCATTTGGAGCTGCTGGGCTCCAAGGGGCGGGGCCGTTCACCCACCAGGAGCCAGAGGGCAGGGACACTCACAGGCTCAGGGGTGGGGCCGCGCATACGCTACACTCCCATGAGCCACGTGCCTGGGGTCAGCAACCCCATGCACTGCGTGGCCACGGGCGGGGCCGCCCATTCACCGCAAGACTGGGGCTGGCGCCCTCCAGAGCCACACGCCCAGGGCTGGCACCCCCCATAGCCATGCACCTGGGGGCGGGGCAGCCAATTTGCCACGTGCCTGGGGCCAGGGCAGCCAATTTGCCGCGCGCCTAGGAGCGGCACTTCCCATGCACCACACACCCGGAGCGCAGGCGGTCAATTCACTGCACGCCTGGGGCTGGTGCTCCGCATGCAGTAGACCAGTGGTATGCGTGTATGCTCAGTGCTCCTGGGGCCGACACCGCGTATGCGCAGTGCGCCTGGGGCTGACACCGCGTATGTGCCAGCCCTGAGAACTTGGCGGGCGCACACAAATGCCCCCGTGTGCCATGGCACCCACGGGCACCATGTTGGGGAACACTGCTCTAGCCCATATGCTAGCAATCTTCACCATGTGACGAGTGTAAACCAACAGAGTGGTTAATTTCTTCTGCAAAATCTTTGAACCAATAAGATACAAAAAAGATGTGAAGTACCCCTCATCTCATTTCCAATAGATTAACTCTGATCTACTTTTTTTCTGTTTAAGAGATCAAAGCCCACAAGGAAGGAGAGGATGATCATATTTTACAAATAATAGAAATGTTTTATTTTAGGTGGATTTTGGTTCTTGTCAGTAGGTCTTGGCTGAGTACCCTCCTTCTCTCTTATGCATTGGAGAGGGTCCAGTGGAGGGCAACCAAAATGATTAGGGGGCTGGAGCATATGACTTATGAGGAGAGGCTGAGGGAGCTGGGTCTGTTTAGTCTGCAGAAGAGAAGAGTGAGGGGGGATTTGATAACAGCTTTCAACTTCCTGAAGGGAGGTTCCAAGGAGGATGGAGAGAGGCTGTTCACAGTAGTGATGGATGGCAGAACAAGGAGCAATGGTCCCCATTCGTGGTGGGAGAGGTCCAGGTTGGATATTAGGAAAAACTATTTCACTAGGAGGGTAGTGAAGCACTGGAATGGGTTACCTAGGGAAGTAGTGGAGTCTCCATCACTAGAGGTGTTTAAGTCTCGGCTTGACAAAGCCCTGGCCGGGTTGATTTAGTTGGGATTGGTCCTGCCTAGAGCAGGGGGCTGGACTTGATGACCGTCTGAGGTCTCTTCCAGTTCTATGATTCTATGATTTCATAACATGTAGCTCAGTGTTCCTCAAGATGCCTACATTTGCTTCCCAGAAAGCGATGCACCTAGGGGATTACAAGCAGTGCACACTGGTTGCCTGGGGTTACAAGACATTAATGGAGTGCACCTGAACCATTTCCCCCACCAAAATGGCTTTTTGCTTGGGTTTAAAGCTGCATGATCTGAGTCTGCCTTGAAGTGCCCTGGACTTCAATACAAGAGTTAGTAAAATGCAGCAAGGTCAAAACAGAAAACTAACTTGAACAGCAGGTCTGCTTGACAATTTGGAGACAGAGAAAATGCTTTAGGGCAAGATTAACGTCCAAATGATGAAGCATAAAAATCTTCAGTCTCCTACCCATACTTATGAGGCAGCTTGAATATTAGGTGGACCATTGCCTTGGGCTGTCTCCCTTCCCTAAGGTCTCCTCTGGCTTTTTGAGTTGCCTCTGACACTGAAGAGGCTGTGCAGGTGCTGAAATACTTTATGCGCAGCCTGTCAGCAGCAAAGCAAGCAAACGCCAGAAAAGCTGAATAACGGATCGTGGCCTCAATTACCAGGGCTCAGGAAAACAATGCAATTAAAATGATAAATTGGCTGCACCAACAGGCAGGGCGCACTCGGCGGGTTATTTAGTGAAGATTTCCCTCAATTAGGGATTGCAGCGTTTTTTATCCCTCTTTCACCAGCACCCACAGAG